ATTTGGGGTACTTGAAAGTAATTAGTGTGATAACTAGATACTACAAGGGAATTCGAAGTAATCAACAAACAGAGAACCTGGCTTTTAATCCATTTTGAAATGGCCATTTGTACTATACAGTTTCGACTTGACCTTTGTATTACACTTTGTATTTCACTGATTAAGATACGTCAGGCTAACACATCGTAACTTTAGGCTTTTCTCAAATAATAAAATGTCTCAAGATATAATGAATCTTATCAATAGATTACAATATATGAAATAGTTTTTAAATCAGTGACAGATTTATGAAATAATATTTTCTACTGATATCATTAAAATAAAAATATCTTAAATTTCATTAATAAAATAATTACATTTGTATACCAAGTTTAGCATGAATATATATATCAGGTTTTGGAATATTGGTGAGACTATAATTTCTGGACGATCTTTGAGTGACGCTAAGGTGACCTTGGGAGTGTCCACCTAATAACTAAGACTAAATGAGGGTTATAAACTAGTGTGATGAATTAGAATTAGGATTTACAGTTGATGGTTAAAATTAGGAATTAGATTTAGGGTTTTCATCACGAACTAACATCAGATATAATGCCAAAACGTTATTAAACCAAATGCACAAATTAATTTTGCTCCAAAATCCAAGATCTATTGTTTTATATCTGATTGGTTCGTCCATAAATTGTAGTCTCACCATTATCGTTATAAACTATATCACTAATAATGTCAACTCATGAACATACCATCAACTAAACAACCATCTTTTGAGTTCCACATAATCAAAAGATTTTCTCTGAGATGAGATAGTAATGACTAGAGTATTACCAATGTTTATATTTGAGTGAAATGCGATTAAATCCATTTTCAAATAGTTCTTATGATAAAAAAAATCAATATTATTCGACTAATTATTGATTTTTTGTAGGTATAATCATTGATAAATAGATAGAAAAATATTCTGCTTATTGATTGATATGCTAAAAATTGATGACGTTTCTTTTTGTTTTTATACATATTGATTTATCGGTCATATCAACTACAGTTAATAATTTGGACATATCCCAGTCACATAGTTCACTCGTTTAGTACAAATGAAATCGAGTGCATTTAATTAAAAATAATTACAATCAGTGTTTGCTTACTGGTATTTACAACTATACAACTAAATTCTGGAGAATAAATTAATTTTTAAAATGCAAAACGGATTGTGTAAGAGTTGATCGATTTCATTTTTTACATTTAAAAAAAATTTTAACATGGAAAAATAAATTCTAAGTAGAAATATGAATAAAATGTTCTGGTTGATATCATGAATAGATCAGTGTTAGATCGCCATTTGTAAACCTGAAAGCATTGGACGGCCGTTTCGTCCTACTATGAGATTGGTGAGCAGTGCTCATCCACGATCCTGCACACGGAATTCAAACTCACGGCCGCGGATGATTAACCTCTAGACCACTGATCCGGCGTCCAACGGTGTTAATGTCTAACTCTAACCGATCCACGATATTGCGCGACCGTCCACCATTGTCTTCAGTTAGTAACTGCCTCATAAAATGTTTATTTTGAAGTAACATTATTTGAAGAATGGTTATAAATCACAGGTCACTATATAATTGTTTCTTGGTAGAATAATATTACTTTGGAAGTACTACACTAATACTTTTTGTATATAATCACTAATATTCAACTACAATCATTTTTGAAAACCTCCACAATCAATCAGTAGATGCTATTTTCTTTTTCTCTTTTGCCTCAAATTTACTGGTTATTTCTGAAAGCTATAACGAAATCAAGCCATTCGAGTACTTCCTCAAAATATTTCTCTCATCATTCCAGTTTCGCACTCTAACAGTGGAAGACTGTCCTATTCTTTTACCCAAAATATTCCTGCTGATATTTGATTGTTTCAACCATTAAAAAGTCTGAACACTTTTCTAGTACTCTCTAACGTCAATGTCTTCATTATTTATCTAGCTTTCGATGCGAATTATTTATAATCATTAAGTAGAATTATTTTCATCAATTACTTGGCTTCACTGTCTATCATCCTAACCAGTATAAACGCTAAACTGATTTTTTTTTAATAGTATGATAGATTATATAGCTCAGAAGTAGGCTTTTGATGGTGTTTCATTAATTAAAGTAAAATTATCATGCTCAGAGAAAGCAACACCATTAAATTAATTATTATTCCGTAAAAAAGTGCGGTAAATTCTACTGGAAATCCTATCTAGTCTGCTAATAGTTACGAAATGAGTTCATGTAATGTTATTAGACATTTTATCTTGACAGTATAAACTGTCTTTTATCATTAGACAAAGAGACAGAACGGATCATAATTATGGTCATTACATTTAGTATCCAGAACTGTAATCGACATTAAGAGAAAAAAGGGTCACTAGATAATGAATAATAATGATATATTTTATATTCAAGTTATAATAGAATTCTACTAATTGAGTAATTCAATATAGGTAGTCGAATCACGTGACATTATACAAAACCATTTTTTGAAACATGTGACTAAGAAATTAAACTATGTACACTTTCTTTTTGATTTGAATAAACAAATTTTTATCATAAAAAACTAGCACAATATATTAATGTGGAATAGAATATTTTATTTAAGTCTTCATGCTTGCTATTCTTACTTATCTCATCTGCACACTTTATTCAGGTGAAGTATACATAGTACTGCAATTAGTAAGAGAAAAGGTGTACACCGGTCACATTAAGAGATCAGATACATGTCTCATTTGCATACACTTTACATGGTTTATGACTGTTTCAAATTATTTAGTATAATTTTATTCAATAGATTATGTATGAATTTTATTATTTACAGTTGATTGATTACTGAATGATTGATCAGTGTCATGTATCCCAAGTCCTTCCGAGTGTTCACCGAATTCTATAGACCAAGTTGGAATGCGACAAGGTGTTTGAAGGCTATCGGCATGAAACTATGTTGAGATTAGATCTCAACGTATTGCACGCGATGTCACGTCACGTAGACTAATGGTCACATAACAACTTGATTTATAGAATTTAGTCAAGCCTAGAAAAGACTTGACATAGATAACATTGATCATTCACTACTTAGAGATCAACCAATTGTATCTGAGTCCTACGGGATGTCAGTCGTGGTTTGAAGAACTCAGTTGTAATACCTATGATTGTGAAGCTGAATGATACGAGGCCGAATCCACCAGGAAGCAGCAAATGTCACGAGATTGACAAGTGTCGAATAACGCGAAACCTAGGTCCGGAGTTTCCAGTCTACCGCCTCCAATCACCTTACATGATTTTTAATAACATTTGGGTTTGATATGTCTCAGATGGAACAAGATTTGAGCCCTGAATTCCATTATTAAGGACAATTCAAATAGTCGGAATATAACTGTTAACTGAAAAGAAAATACTGAATAATTAATTATTGAGTTTAAATCAATAAGATATAGTTTAAATATTTAACGGTATAGTTGATTCTGATAATTTAATGAGAAGACGAAGGTTATCAGAATTATGTGATACATTTGCGCAGTACATTTCGAACAATCTGATCACATATATACTTGTTAAGACACTTTGTATGAAAAATAAAAGGTCAACCAGACAACTTAAAACGTAAGCAGAAACAAATATATTAATAAAGTACACAAAAACAACGTGACAAATACTGGATAATAAATCAGTATTACCAGAGTAGGTTAATAGTTAGAACAAATGGTTTTTGAACATATAACAGGAGTTTCAGTTTTCGTATAGCCAAGGCTTCTCATTGCACTATCGAAGTCTATCAAAGGTATAGTTGATGTTCAGTCCCGGAATGAATATCAAATCTGGGATGCAGATACATCCAGCTGACGAGTCCCAAATAGGACGAAACGCGTGTCCTGGGTTCCACTGCTAGCCACCATCCATTTTCGCTTATAATGCTTGGTACAAGAATGTACAGAATACATATGCGCCACACGAATCATTCGATGTGTTAGGGCTGGAATACTTCCTGAGCGCCGAAACTGAAGCAAGTGGTTTCCTTAGGAGGTCAGACCCTTAGCCTTTGATCTAGATGTCCGATCCACAAGGCAATGGAGCAACGTTAGAAGATGCAGTTTCATAGTAGCCTGTGACTAACAATAGGTTGATACGCCATTTGTTCCCTCATGATCCTGAAGCCCATGTTCACTACTGGTTTCCAAACTCTCCTAGATGAACCCTCTGTACCCACCAACCTGACTGAAGTATCAGACATTCACTTATCATCCTATTAATTTTGTGAACAACACCCTCTCCGCGAGAAGGCAGTGAATAAGACTTCCCTGGCAGTGGCTGTATACGCGTGGCCATGTAGGAGCACTTGAAGGGGGGAGAGGAACTGAAAGAGGAAAGAACAAGAGAAAGCGTGAGCAGTGGAAGCTGCAAGTTAGTAGATTAAGACGAATATTCAGATTTTCAAATAATCTTTGGAACTTAAGATAAAAATAAATGGTAAGTAAATATAAATACAATTATGATTTATAAACAAACCCTAATGTAAGAAAATACCACTAATTAATAATTCAATTAGTATCATATTTGTATATGTATGCTGTTCATCAATTAATTGCTCACTTCGCTTGTTTCTTTTCATGACATCAAATTCTGTCCTCTGTTTATTAAATATTGATATGATAAAGATATCGAAGATTATTTCTTTTGTTATTAGTATATAGCCGTACTGAGGGATATTAGTTAATCAATATTGTATGAATACATATCAACATACATTAAATGAATTCAGATGAGAAACAAACAAAGAAACAATGATTAAAGTATGATAAGTTTATCACTATCGTGTTTAATTACCGATCACTTTGATTAAATTAACTATGAGGAATCAAGTAGAGTGTCTTATATTGAAACTGTGCACAGTTCTTGTCTGTCATTTACACCGTATAGCAGTCTTGTCCATTTTTCTCAATCATGTCAATTTTCATTTTTAATACATTAAAGTGATGTACTATTTGCTCACGAGTGATCACACTACTACTACTACTACTACTACTACTACTACTACTACTACTACTACTACTACTACTACTACTACTACTACTACTACTACTACTACTACTACCACTAATAATAATGATAATAATAATAATAATAATAATAATAATAATAATAACGATAGTAATAGTGCTACAGAATGTATTACTAGTGAAGGGTGGAGACACCGTACTCTAAATATTTATTTGACCGTAAAATCACAAAAAGCTAGTTTGACACATTTATATATCGTATTCATAAATCCAGTAAATAAATTCAATAATTAATGTGTCAAGCAACGAAAGTTTACAATGAAAAAAAAGAAAGAAAGAACAAATCAAATTGTAATAAATATGGTTATTATTGCGTTTTGAGAGTTGACTTCTGTCTTCACTTGATTCATATTATGGATTTAAGAAATCATATCCAGTTGCGTGAAACCTGAACAGGAAACATTCAATAACAACTATTTATAAATATAGTTTACACCATTAACTGATCTTGGTAAAACAACCATTTAAAACTTGAAAACACTGGATGGTTATTTTAACTTTGTATAGGATTTTCCTGTAGCTTCTTCTTGACGCTAACGGAGATTGAATCCAGGACATTCAGATCTTATAGGAACCAATTAACTCTTATACCACTAGTAGTCGATAATTTATATTTCGAGCTCCAATTAATTTTTCAACAGATGAACTTGAGTGTACTTGGTAGAATACTCTTAGATACAATCAGTGTACAATAAGAGATACCAGTTCATTAGTATATGCTGAATATTAGTTGAGTTCACTTTATCACACATAACCACTGGTCTAATAGCTAAGCGCTAACAGCGAAACCTGAAGGAAAGAAGCAGTAACATGATCTAGCAGCGGTAGAAGAAACGTTATAAGAGGAAATATTAGGGAATTATATAACGCAATCAAGAAGCTTGCAGGTAAATAATGTAAACAGAGTGACAAAACTGCAACAAAGAATGTAAACCAAATACTGAGGATCGAGAGCAGCGGAACAGGTGCGTAGTATACTATAAAAGGGTTTTGAATCCATTAGCTCCACTGAATCCAACGAACATTGAGGAGGAACACATAGACCTCCTTAAACATGTTACCACACAAATAGTCGAAGAAACCGGAAAAGGTATCAAACAAATCGAGAATGGCAATGCACCAAAACCAGATAACATACCACTCGACACATTGAAGCCAGATATACAGGTAAGTGCAGAGATGTCCCACATTTTCTTTAGAAAGATTTGAGAGGTAGAACAAGTATCAACAGACAGGAAAGATGGATACCTCACTAAAATACCACTATTCATCAGCCTCCTCGACAATGAGGAAGCATTTGACAGTGTAGATACGAGAACCTAATGGAAACTTCTTCTACACTATGGTGCATCATACCGAATCCATACGACGGACTACACTGTAGATTGGTGCATGGAGAACAGCTGACGGATACATTCCGAGTGAGGACCGGTGTCATACAAGGATGCTTACTCTCTCCCTTTCTTTCTTGTACGGAGCTGAAACTTGGAGAACTACCACAACCATCATCAAAAATGTACAAGTATTTCTAAACAATTATGCACTCAAGATACTCAATGTCCATTGGTTGGATACAATGAACAAAAACAGCCTAGTGTGGGAGAGAACAAATCAACTTCCGATTGAAGATGAAATTAGGAGAAGGTGTTGGAAGTGAATAGGACATACAATTTGGAAATCATCAAACTGTGTCACGAGCCAAGCGCTAACTTGGAATGCTGAAGAGGGACGGAAAAGTGGAAGACCAAAGAACACACTGCGTGGAGAATCGGAAGTAGACATGAAAAGGATGAATAGCAACTGAAAAGAACTGGAAATGATTTTTCAGGACAAAGTTGGTTGTAGAATGCTAGTGGTTGGCCTTTACTCCTCAATCAGGGGTATCAGGTATAGTTAATTAAGTAAGTAAATATTCAAGCGTATCTGTTTTTCACCTGACATTATAATCAGGTATAAATTAATTTGTAGCATAAACTCCAGCTCAAACTTTAGCTATTGTTTGAATGATAAATTTAGATCATATAAACACAGAAGTTCAAAATAAACTATTGAACACGGACGAAATTCCTGCTAGCATCGCTTCCCGTTTCCTAACATTATTTCGTATGTTCTAAGATTTGTCCAGACAAAAATGAAGCCAACTAGTCTTTTTCAGGATATCAACTTAGAGAATCGATAGTAAATATTGTTTCCAATAGTTTTTGGATTTCTTGTTGGCAATTTACCTGTACTTATTGGCAATGAGGACAGGATTGTGTTAGGCTTTCCCTATACACATAGCTTCAATTAACTCATGATTTAAACTATTGAAGTTTTCATTTAATTTACCATTTAAATGATTTTAAATTATATTTATGTTATACGTGTGTATGTTATATACTAAATACCAACAAGAAGTTGTATTTGTTTGTTAAGAAAAGAGTATCGTAAAATTTACTGTGTAGTTGTTTTACCTTCTAAATCCATTCATTGATTAGGATTTTTACTCAGCTATGGTCAGTATGTAGATAACAAATAACCTGAATTGGATTTACGCAAATTAAGTAGATAATATAAGTGAGTTACATTAAGACAAGTAATAGAATTGTATATGAACTACCGATAGCAACCAATCAATTTTAAGTAGATATGAATGAAACTCGTACAAACTCGGACGACTTCAAGAAGAAAAATTTCTTATTATAATCTTAGACTATTAATGCTATTATTAAAATTGGTTATTGGCTTACGGTGGAATCCAGGACCAGAATTTGTGACTGAAAGTTATCTCGAATCAGTTAACTCGGAATATATATACGCAAGCATCAAATGAACAGTTACTATCCTGAATATCGAAAATAGGAAATTACAAGTGTTTAAAGAAATTAAGTTCGTATGCATTGAACATATTAGTTGTTATAAGGATTCATTAGCTCGTTGGACGCTTGGAGCTTAGGGTACTAGGTACGAGTTACGTTGTGACTATCAAAACTGAGACATAGGTACGTTTACTTGACGAGTATCAAAAACGACGAAACGCGCGTCCCGGATGTACATATGCCAACAAAGACCGATGAAAGCCCAATCATATTATCAACAATAATTTAGTGCTATTAGTGGAATTATCACAGTCTATAGCTTATTTGACTGTTAGATTTTCCTAAAATGGCAATATCATCAGCTAAGCTATCTGATAACTGAAATAAAACTGAGTTTGTGCTAGATCTAGTCAAGTTGCTATGTGTGCAGAACTAGTCAACCGAATAATAATTACTGGTTTGAGTTGATATCTTGTTAAGCACTTTTGATCTCTAAATTGTCAAATATCACTTTTTATAATTCACCTTAAATAAAATAGTAATTTTGTGCAATGGTTTGTGAAGTTGATGAATGTTGATATACTTTTCATCAGAAGGAACTGTTTCATCTTAGCTTGAGAAAACTACTCAATAAGTGCACGAACATAACATTAATTGTGCAACAATCTAGAGGTTTAAAATTTTTTGCCAAGCATGTTATCTGCTCAACCCTTGAGTAAACACTTCAGTCAGCTTACAATATAGCGCGATGTTTATTAAGTGCTGTCGTGTTGTGTTCTGCAATCTAATTCAGTTGTGATGCACACTTCCTACGGCAACCCATATTCACTATGCTACTGAGATGAGTAGGAAGGTATACTTGCTAAGATCGAATGGTTGTGTATGTAGATTACAAGTGTATATATTTTCCCCTCTATCGCAGTTAAGAACAACTGGGCTGACAATGACTAGGGAGTAATTTACTTCAACAAATAGCATGTCTCCTACTAAATGACATGACTATCTGGATTTTTGAGATGGTGTCATATGTCTAAATATGCCCAGTCTCCCGAAAAATCCCTTCCTTTATCTTGATTCATGGTAACAGTAAATCAATTACTTCAGACGGACAATATTTTCTTGTAGTTATTTTCATCTTGTGGCTATTCTGCTCGACAACCAAGACCAGCTAGTGGGAAGTCACATAGTAACAGCTGAAGACTCCATGATATATGCAGCTTTCGTCAGGTATATATCTGGTTCTCTCTGCATCAGCGGATATTTGAAGTACAACATGATTGTCTCCAAATTATTTCTAATGTCCAATAAAAGTGCTATAGCTAACATTTGTGGATGAATGATGAATATAAAAGCATGGTTTTCAACGAATACTTAATTTTAACCATCTAAATGTATCCTATGAGTCAGTCAGTCAGTCAGCTACAACGTAGGACCAGGCACAAATATGCATCAGTCCAAGTTGCTATACCTCAGTAACACAACAAGATGGACATCAGATTAATAAAAGTAGTTAATTCAGAGGTGGTAATATATAAAAGAAAGATTGCAATATAAAGATATGGTACAGGAAGAAAGAATTTGTTCATATTAAGAAAGATATGAAGTGATTTTAATCTCTTAGTTTAAGGGAAGACAGAGAGTGTATACACCTACGCCAATGTGATCGATTCTGAGCCATGTCACCAAGAGTCTCCAACCATTGGTTAAGACAGTCACGCGCACCCCAACCAAGTAGTCTGCATCTACCAACATGGCTCAGACTAGAAGTTAGTGACTTCAAGCATTGATGCCACGTTTTGGTTTGTCCGCCCCTAACTTTCTTCCGACCATCCCGAACACCGGTTAGCAATGCACGTCGTGGTAATCGGTGTTTGGGCATACGTAAAACGTGGCCCAACCATCTCAGTCGATGAAGATTCACAACCTCATCAACTGATTTACCGTCATTCCCTAATACCCTGAGTCTAACCTTCCTATTACTTACCCGGTGATTCCAGCAGACGCCAGCAATATTTCTGAGGCGTCTGTGGTCAAATACTAGTAACTTACGAGTGTCTTCTAATTTTATTGGCCATGTTTCGCTGCCGTGAATTAAAACGGAACGAACTGCCGCGCAGTATACTGGTTCTTTTATTGATAGACGGATATCTCGCCTTCGCCATAGGTGACGTAAGTTGGCAAAAGCCAAATGAGCTTTTCGAATCCGTGCTGAGATTTCGTCAGACACCAACCCATTAGGGCTGATCAGACTTCCGAGATAAGTGAAGTTGTCGACGCGTTCGACTACTTCACTCCCTATCCTTAGTTCAGGTGTTGACGCAGACCAGTCCTGAAGCAACAGTTTGCATTTAGAGGGAGAGAAGCGCATTCCAAACATTCTGGCATTGTTACTTAGTGCCACCAAAAGACTCTGCATTTTGTCAGCGTCTTCACCAA